AAGCGAGGGGCGCGTCGGGTCCGAGGCGCAGGGCCCTTCCCCGTCGGAAGGAGGGGGCCCTCGACGCCCGCCCGCTCGCCCGCCCGCGCCCCTGCCTCACCAGGAAGACGGCGTTGCTGAGCACGCAGAGCAGCACCGCGCAGCCCAAGAGCCGAGCCACCACGGCGCCCACCTCCCGGCACAGGCTCCCGTGCCAGGACATGCTTGCCGGTGCCCGCTCTCTGGCGGGGCTGGAGCGCCGGGGAGGTGGGGGGGGGGAGGCATTGTGAGGCCGCGTCAGCTCACAGAGCCAGGGAGCCGGCCCGCCGGGAGGGTCCCACGGCGCATCCCAGACAGGCAAGGAGGGCCCGCTTAGAGCCCTGCAGAACTTCCACTCGCCGCTCTCGGTCCTCCCCGCTTCCCCGGTTCCTTTTGCGAGCCTGCAGGCGGAGCCTCTTGGAAACCGGACCCCAGACGGCTTCCCGGCCCCCCTTTCCGGAAAGACCCTGTTGGCTCCCACCCCGCTTCGTAACGTCTGACTGAGCGGTTGGCCGCGGGGCTGTCGAAGAAGCGCTGCGGGTGCATCAGCCCAGAGCCCCGGGGTGGAGGAGCCAAGAGGCTGAACCTCAGCGGGAACCGAGGACAGGAGTCCAAAAAAGGCTGGCTAGGAAGGGAAAACTCATCTCCACGTTCTTTCCGGTTGAGCTCCAGCGCCCTCCGTGACCCCCAGAGGGAGGGATGGGAGGGCGCCCTTAGGGGCCTCTGCTTTTCGGGGTGCCATCTTGGCGCCGGCTCCTGTCGAGGCAGAAGCAGCTTTTGTGAAATCTCATCTGGCATCAAGAATCACCAGGAGTCAATTTGCACCAGCGCTCCAAAACCTCCAATCCCCCGGGATTCCCTCCCCCAAACGCCCACCCTCTCATCTGCTGTGTTGCCTGGTTAACAGGATTGTCACGACCCTATCAACTATTGAAGCTTTTTCTTATCAAATAATACACAAAAAGGAACCAATGGTTAGATATGGTGAAATTTTGAATGCAGAGGGTAAACTCGAATCTAGGCAAGAACTGAAACAGGAAGGAATTGAAATGAATTGGTTTTCATATGTGCAAATACAATGTAGATATGATAAAGACTGTAAAATTGAAGGTTTTATGATAAAACAACCTGAGTTAGATAAAATCTTGACAGGTACGGATGAAAAAGTAATTAAAAAACTATATGGACATTTACTAGAGGTTAAACTAAAAGAAGAGCAAGTTAAAGAACCTATGATAGCTTGGGGGCAAAAATTTTGGGCATGGGGTTGAATTAGAGAAATGAGAGAAATTGTGGTCCCAAAATTATAAAATGGCAGTGTCAACAGTTTATAAGGAAAATTTGTATAAGATGTTTTACAGGTGGCATCTACCCCCAACGAGAATAGCAAGAATGTTCAAGAACAAATCCGAAAAGTGTTGGAAATGTCATTAGACACCCGGATCATACTACCACATGTGGTGGACTTGCACAGAATTTAAAAGGTATTGGTCTAAAATACACATGTGGTTGGAGAAAATGACACAGAAATGCATAGACTTTNTAGGTTGGAAAAAATGTTGAAACCCACCACTGCCCCACAGGGCTCTGGAGGAGGAAAGACCCGGCTTCTTCTGGGAGGCAAAGGGGGGAGGAGGGGGCATTTATCTTGGCCAGCAAGGAAGCAGGGGGGGGGGGCATGTAAGGAGGCCCTTACTTAGGGGGCAGCCAAGGCCCCGGCTCCCCGGGGAGGCCACTCGGCTGGGCTGAGCGAGTGGGCAGAACTGCAGGGCTGTGCCAAGGCAGGCCGACTTGCTGGGAAAGGTGGCAAAAGTGGGGTGGGGGGAGCATTTTCCTCTCCTGTGCCTCGTAGACAGTCTTGGAGGGGGGCAGCAGTGCAAGGGTGAAAGAAGGGGGTCCTCCTGCAGGCCTGGATCCAAAGTGGCCCCCTCCCCCCCCACCTTGACAGCTGCAGCTGACTTGCGAGATTCTGGGGGTGTCGCATGGGCTGCGCCGTCCGGCCCCACCCAGTCCTTTGTGTTCGGAAGAGGCGTCTCACGGCGGCAGCTGTGACCATTGCTCTGCCCAGCCCTGCGCTCAGCTGCCCCCAGTTGCCTCACAGCCAGGGCGAGTGTGGGCACTTCCCTCAGAGTGGGGGGGGGGCTCCCTCTGGCCAGCTTACACAGCTGCTCTTGCCCTGGAGAAGCCCCTCCGCGGCCCCCAGAAAGGGAAGAGCAAAGGGCTCTCTGGCCCGTGAAGCCTCTTGGCGCAGAGCCTCCTGGTGCCTCGTCCCGGGCGCAGCACGGACCCTGGGCAGGAGCTGCTGGGGGGGCTCTCTGGGCCACAAGGGAGCCCCCCCCCCGCGTGTTCCTGGACACCAGGGTGGCTGCAGGAGGCCTGGGCTGGCAGGCGGGCGTGAGGTCAATGACGGCCATGCAGCAGGGTTGAAACCCAGCAGGCTCTGGCAGGTTCTGCATAGGCCGGAGAATCTCTTCTCTGCCTTCTCTGAGTCGCAGCTGATCGGGAGGAAAGGGGGACTTTGCAGTATCGTTTCCCTGCCACGCCCACCAAGCCAAGCCACGCCCACCAAGCCACGCCCACAGAACCGGCAGTAAAGCAATTTGAATTCCACCACTGCCGTCCAGNGGGGGGGGGGCTGCCGTTAGGACATTCAGAAGGACACATGGCGGCCACCAAGCAATTGTCCTCCAGTCACACATGCCCCTCCTGATGCCAGCCTTGGGGGCACTTGCCTCCCTGAAGAACCAGCTTTTTACAAATTTAGTCTGAGTTACACAGAAGTGTTTCTGCCACAAAAAAGAATGCAAATGTTTAGTGTTTTTTTAAAAATTGACACTTGGAAATGAAGCTTTCAGAGTCTGATCTTAAAAGCTGTCCTGGTTTAAAATTAGATTTCTCTTTACAATTTTTCTAAACTACAGCTTTCTACGGTTGTACTATTCTGTAGTATTCTGTAGCTAAGGGTATAGAAGTGTGATAAATTCATAAATTCTGTTTATCCTTAATAAAGCTAATCACACATTTTTGCAAGCAATTTCTGCTGATTTTACTGAAAGACTACTTCTTCTGTGGTGCTGCTGCAGCTGCTTCAAGTCTCCCTAGAGAAGGAAGAGTCTCGAGGGAGGAGGAGCAGCACCAGTGAAGAGGCAACAGCCAGGGAAGCCCCTCCGATGTCTGTGGCCTCTTTCTGCCCTCACCAGTCCCATTCCCTGGCTGGGAGCGCCCATTAAACCTTGCCCAGCTGGCACAGCAGAGACCGTCTCCATGTCACCCCTCGCAACCCTCTGGCAGGAAAGAGCCAGGCCCATCTTGTTGGCCTTGGAGACCATCCCATGGGCATACGGAAAGAGCCTGTCGTTGCCCTGAATGCAGGAGTTGCCCAAAACGCCCCTTTGGCTCCCTCTTCCTACCCCAAGGCCCATATTCCACAGCCACTGCTCCCAGGGCCATTGATCCTGGAAAGAACAGAGAGTTATTCTGCCCAGCAGCCGCCATGATTTTGGTGGCTTTTCAAAGATGCTAAGGGATCCCCCCCCCCCCACAGGGCAGATTCTCTCCCGCCAGGAGCAGCCGCCATGATGGGGGGTGGAGGGGGTGGAGGAGTGGTGTTCTACCCAAACTGCAGGGAGCAGCTACTGTGTTTAGAAAGAGCGAAGGCCCTTCCCTCCCTCTGCCAAGCGTGGGCCCCGCCTAGCTGCTACTTCCTCTTCTGCAGTTCCCCCTCTGGATCAGCTTCAGGCTCCAAGAGCCACAGGTTTGCCCCACGGCCGCCGGCTTCCTGTGAACTGTCAGCTGCTGTAAGTGGGGCCTAGCATTGAGCCCCTCCCCCTTGCAAAATCTGCAGCACAGAGCAGCAGGCAGGGGGGTCCACAGGTTACACCCCTTCAAGGGAGTCCCACCCCACCCCTCCTCCCCCATTCACAGAAGGAGCTGCAGCTCCTGGTCCAAACTCATCCCCACTTCTCAGTCTTTGGAGCTGCTCCCTATGGTTGGGGGGTGGGGGGGGAGGAGGTCCCCTTCCTATTCCCCACAAGCCGACTCTCTCAAAGGCCTTGGGTGGGTTTGCCAGGGGTCACCAAGGCCGGTGGTAGAGAGACCCAAGGAGGCCAGGGAAGGAGGCCAGCGTTTAGTGCAGAGAGAAAGCTGGCTACAGGCCGAGAAGGAGCCCTGCCTTTCACAAGCCTCTGCAGAGCAACCTCTGGTGGTCCCTGCTCTTTCCTCTGGATCGGGGCAGAGGCTGGTCTGTAGGAAGTGCTATCGCACCTGGAGTGATGTAAGCTGTTAGGGTTGAAAGACATCGGGCTCACATTCCAGATGGGAATTCAGAGACTGGGGAAACTACATCTGCTCCCCCTGTGATGTGTGTGTGTGTGTGTGAAGCTCAGATTTTGCCTTTGAAGAGGAGGGGCGGGGCCCACCTGTGTCCTCCTCAGGGCCCTGAGATTCAGGACTGGGGGGGGGAGGTGCTCCCTTGAGGAAGGGAGGAGAAGGCCCAGCAGAAAAGCTCCAGGAAGGGTCAGAGGGAAAGGCGCTGCCTCCACCAGAGCCGCCAATGAAGACCCCAAAACCGGAGGGGGGAGAGGAAGAGGCCACCGGCTGCCACGCCTGGGTCGGAAGAATCCCGAAATAGCAGCGGCTGGGCTCAGACCCAACTAACTCGCTACCAGGCGTGCGGGGAGGGGGGAGGGGGGACGGCTGGAGGCTGCGCGAAGGTCAGCGGCTCGCCTGGAGCCCTTCCCGGTGGGTTTGGGGCCACTCCAGGCCACTCCCCTCCCTGCGCCGCCTCCTTCGAGCGGCTGCCATTCGCCTCCCAAGCCTGCCCGGAGCCGCCGCCGTCGGGGAGCGCCCACCCCACCCACGCCGACCCCCTGGCTTATGGGCGGGGCGGGGCCTGGAGGAGGAGGAGGAGCCGGTTCCTCCGTGATAAGCTGCAGCTGCGCTGGGGGGCCAACCTGTAGGCGCCCGAGCCCGTCGTGCTGGCCATGTGGCTCCGCTTCGCCCCGCTGCGCCTGCCGCTCCGGCGGCGCCTCCAAACGGCCGCCGTCCTTCAGTGGGTCTTCTCCTTCCTGGCGCTGGGTGAGGACGGGGCGGCGGTGCCGTCGGGGGCAGCTGGGCGAGGGCCGAGGGCGGCGGCGGCAAAGCTGCTTGTATCTCGGCCTCGGGAGCAGGAGAGGCAGCCTGGCAGGCCGCGAAGGGAAGCCGCCGCGGGCGGGGAGATGCAGCGCCCGGCTCGGCTCCTGCCAGCGGCTGGAACTCTCGGGCGGCGGCTTGCCTTGTTCCACCCGGGGCTGCCTTCCCCGAGAGCCCGAGTGCTCCAGCCCCTTAGGGCGCTGCCACTTCCGCTCGGCGGGGGCTGTCTGCGGGCGGGAGCGGCGGGCTCCTGAGCACGTCCAGAGTGCCGGGGCTGGCGAGGCGGAGGAGGAGGAGGAGGAGGAGGAGATGGTGACGCGCTGCCTCTCTCGTAGCCCAGTGTTGCCTGGGGCTTTTCCTGCTGCTGCTGCTCGGGGACGGCTGGCTGCTGGCGCTCGGCTACGCCGCCTGGCTCTACCTGGACTGGGAGACGCCGTCTCGCGGGGGGCGCCGCTCCTCCTGGGTCCGCGGCTGGGCCGTCTGGCGCTACTTCCGCGACTATTTCCCCATCACGGTGAGCAGAGCAACAGCGAGGCTCCCTGGACTACGGGCGGGGGGGAGGGGGAGGGCCTGGCGGGACACCCACTTTCTCCCGGGCGGGGCGCCGGCTCCACCAACGCCGCCTTGGCCACAAAGTGCTGAACTTCTTGAGCAAATTCTGGGGTTTTTAGTCCAACCCTTGATGAAAAGTGATAAATTCTGGGTTGCAATGGAGGGGGGGGGGAAGGCTTCCGTCCCTGGCAGCTTGGCTGGGCCTGCAGAAGGAGGGGTGGGACAGGGGGAGGGGTGGGGTGGCCCAGCTGGGATGCCTGGCAGGGAACATCCACCTCTGTCCTTGCCAGGTAGTGGCCTACCTTCTCTGTGGGGCACCTCGGAGCAGGCCCCCAAGGAAGAGGGTTTAAACTGCCTTGGTCTAACAGGCAGGCTGCGATGGGAAACAATCTGATTTGAAATGATCCGCTGATTTCGTAATTAAATCATTTACTGAGTCCCATGAAGCAGTTTGGATTGCAGCTTAAACAATTAGGCCAGCCTTGAAGACCATCGTTCTCTCATCTTTTGCATTTTCTTTGGCTGCAAGTTCCCTCTTAGCTTTCCCGTTAAACTTGTCCATTTGTTTTGTAAATGCCGTGCTAAATATTGCTTTGCTTGTAAATACTATAAAATACTGTCATTTTAAATTGATGGTCCTGAGATGTAACAAACAGTCAGAATTCAGGCAGCTGTGCTGCCGGGTTGTTAAATCAACTTATTTGCTCATTTCCTTGGTGCTCTGCTTGCCCACATCGGTTCTCCCAGATCGAGACTCCTTCATGAATGTGCTAGCCCAAAACGTTGCATTGGCATGAAATTTCCTCCTGTTTGTCCGGGCAGATCAGGAGGTGTTTCTTTTAACTGCAAGCCTCATTCTGAACGCTCCCTTTGGCACAGCCGTGGCTAACAGCCCACTAAAAGGTTGCTGAAGCTTCTGTGAACTTCAGTTGCCTTCCAAGCCCTCCTAGAGAGGGAGGAAACCCCCCCCCCCAAGACAGAGCCTTGAAAATAACTTTTGCTTGAAACTGGGCTCCCCAACAGCATTTGGGGTCCACCCCTCATCTGTTTGAGGGCTGTTGGGTTTAAGGTTGTGCTCCCAGATCCTTTATTTTCTTGCTTAGCAAGAGTTGGGCTCAGGCTTCATCAGTTGGCTATGCACCATGCACACACACACACACACACACACACACACACACACACACACACACACACACCAGCCTGCCAAGCTGAATAGCATCCCCAGGAGGCTGCTTCAGGGCAGAGGGCAGAAGCTGGGCAGAGCGGAGAAGCAGTTTTGGGTATTGTGACCAGTCAAAGGTTTTAGCAGCTTCCCTGCTTAGGTGAATCTCTTCTCCTCTTTCAGCCTTTTTGGCTTGGAAGAAAGCAGGCAGCCCCAGCAACTCCCCCCCCCCAGGGGCCACACTGCACCCAGAGCTGCAGGGCCTGACTGTCACCTGGGGGGGGGGGCTGTCTCCATTCCTCCTGCACTCTTTACCTCCATCGTTTGAGGGCTCATCTCTGACTTTTTATGCCCTGCTGTCTCCCCCACCCCACCCCCGTGCAGCTGGTGAAGACGGCAGAGCTGGACCCTTCCCACAATTACGTCTTCGGCTTCCACCCCCACGGGATCCTGGTGGCCGGCGCCTTTGGGAACTTCTGCACGGAGGCCACGGGGTTCTCCCGGCTCTTCCCGGGCCTCACCCCGCATCTCCTGATGCTGCCCTTTTGGTTCAAGGTCCCCTTCTTCCGCGACTACATCATGAGTGGGGGTGAGCTTTTGGGGGGGCATGTAGGCACAAAGGGACTGCGGGGCAGTGACGGGGGCCAGGGGGAAATCTTGCTCTGAGCCCCGCTGCTCTTTTCCTCTTAGGACTGGTATCTTCGGAGAAGACCAGTGCTTCCTACCTCCTTGGCCATGAAGGTGGCGGGCAGGTGGCCGTCATCGCCGTGGGGGGCCCGCCTGAGTCTCTGGATGCTCACCCGGGGGCTCTGACCCTCCAGCTACGCAGTCGCAAAGGCTTCATCAAGACGGCCCTGCGACACGGGTGAGGAGCGGGGGACCTGGGCGTGGTCAGGACCGGCTCCAGCCAAGTGGGGCGATCCTTCCTCTGACCAGGGCTCTGCCCTCCGCCTTGCAGGGCCCGGCTGGTGCCAGTCTTCTCCTTTGGGGAGAACGAGCTCTTCAATCAGGTCTCCAACCCGCAAGGCTCCGTCATCCGCAGGCTGCAGGAGCGGCTGCAGAGGGTCATGGGGCTGGCCCTGCCCCTCTTCCACGCCCGAGGAGTTTTCCAGTACAGCTTTGGCCTGCTGCCTTTCCGGAGACCCATCCACACCATTGGTGAGTGTCTCTGTCCGGCTAGGCTGGTCGTCAGTTGCCGGGAGCCATTTGGATCCCGCCGGTGGTGGCTGTGCAGGAGAGGAGCCCGTCTCGGGCAGGGCTGCCTCCCCCTTGGGCAACGGTCCCCTAGCACTTTCCCCCAGATATGCCAGCATGTCTCCGAGCTTGGAGGTCAGCCAAACAGACCTCCCTCTGGTGATGCAACAGCCAGCTGCCGGTCTGCGTGTTGCAACCCCCTCTGAGCCCAGCCCTTCAGTGGGGGGGGGCAGCCTTGGACTTTGGTTGGGGGAGGGACTGGAGAGGCTATGTTGCAATGCTGTGGGACAAGGCAGCTCGGACACTTGACCACACAAACGGGGAGAGGGCTGGTGCGGCTGGAGGTTTGCAACAGACACTCNCTCTTCTCCCCAGCTAGTGAAGACGGCCGAGCTGCCCCCCACCAGGAATTACGTCCTGGGCTCCCACCCCCACGGCATCATCTGTGCGGGGGCCTTTTCTGCCTTCGCCACGGAGGCGTGTGGCTTCTCCCAGGTCTTTCCCGGCCTCAGCTCCAGCCTGGCCCTCCTCGCCGGCCTCTTCCACCTGCCCGTCTATCGCGAGTACATGATGGGCGCAGGTGAGAAACCTTTCCTCTCCGGCCTGGTTCCTGGGCCCACATCCTGGAAGCCTTCAAGGGGCTCCTCCCTCCTGGCATTCTGAGGCTTGGGAGGTTTGGGGGGTGGGTGGAGGCTGCTGCACTGACCCTCCCTTTGGAGGGTTTCGGACACAGCCCCAAGTTAAGATAAGGGAGGATCCGCCCTCCACCTAGGATCTGTCTGTCCTTGGGAAGACCGACTAATCGGGAATCTCCTTGGTGGGGAGGGGAGGGGAGGGGTCAGCAGCCCCCTGAGCTGGGAGGCAGAAGGCAAAGAAGGCTCCAGGTGGCGGCTCAGGCAGGGTGGGGAATGCAGCCCCCGTGCGAAGGGACACTAGACTTATGCAGTGAAGCCCCTTTCCCCTCCTTCAAACTCGGGTCTCTCCTCCCACCGTCCTTGTGCCCTTCCAGGGATGGTGCCAGTCAGCAAGAAGTCCCTGGACTTCCTGCTCCAAGCGGGGCCGGGACACGCGGTGGTCATCGTGGTGGGAGGCGCCTCAGAGTCCCTGGACTGTAACCCGGGCGAGCAGCGGGTGCATCTCTCGGGCAGGCGAGGCTTCGTGCGGCTTGCACTGCAGCACGGGTGAGGGTCTCACTGCAACCGTGGCAGGAACAAGGGAGGGGGGGGCTTTTAGAATGGGCACATGTTGGGGGTCCCCAACTTCCTCACCTGTCGGTGGAAGAGGCCTCGGCGGCCTTCGGCAACACTCGTCTGAAGCTCTCGGCCGAGCGAGGCCACAGTGCAGAGCCCCACCGGGGGGGGGGGCTGTGTGTGGGGGGGGCTCCTGTCTCCCGTGCAGAACCTCCCCATTTCTGTTTCCAGGGCAGACCTCGTCCCCGTTTTCTCCTTCGGAGAGAATGACATTTTCCGGCAGGTGCAGTTCCCCGAGGGCAGCTGCCTCCGCCGTCTCCAGCTCCGCTTCAAGCAGCTGGTCGGCTTCGCTCCCTGCCTTTTCGTGGGGCGCAGCCTCTTTTTCAGCCGCTGCTGGGGGCTCCTGCCCCAGCCCTCCCCCATCACGGTTGTGGGTGAGCCTGGGATCTTCTCCTGCCCCCCCCCCCACCTCCACCTCTGGGCTGTGGGAGGGCAGCCTGCATTGGCCGGGAAGGGCCAGCCTTCCGTCGCCCTTTCTCCCTCTCTCTCTCTCTCTCTCACACACACACACACAAAGACACATTTTCTTCCTCCTCTGCAGTGGGGAAGCCGATCCACGTCCCCTTGCGTCCACACCCTAAACCGGAAGAGGTGGACCACTACCACGGCCTCTACGTCCAGGCACTGCAGCAACTCTTCGAGGAGCACAAGGGCACCTGTGGCCTCCACCCCTCGCAGCAGCTCTTCATCACTTAGGGACCCCCTCCCCAGCCAGGGAGCCAGAGGCCCCTCCCTGCTCAGGCGGGGATCCCCTCTTCGGCCCCCCAGTCCCAATAAAGAGTTTTACATTTGGTGGCCCTCGTGTCTGCCTTCTGCGTCGAATGGGAACGGGGTTGTCAGAAGTGGGTACAGGAAGCTTAAACCAAAAAACCTCTTGCCAATTGGGGTGGGGGGGCAAGCTGCGTGTCAGCCGGGCCTCATCCAAGCAGAGTTCTGTAAGGCATTTGACAAAGCAGGTGGCAGCTTCTTGGTAAGGTAGAACAATATGAGATAGGCATGGATTCCTAAGTGGCTGACCAACCGCAGCAACATGTAATCCTTAATGCAGGTGTGTCCAAACTTGGGACCTTTTAAGATTTGTGGACTTCAACTCCCAGAATTCCCCAGCCAGGTTTGGACACCCCTGCCTTAATGGAACTATATCTACAGGGAGGGGACCATTCAGGGGGAACCTCAAGTTTCCGCCTTGAGCCCAATTCTCTTTAACATCTTCATAAATGGTTTAGATGAGGGGATAGAAGGGGAACTGATCAAATTTTCAGACCACACCGAGTTGGTGTTGGATTACTAACTCTTTAAAACATAGATTCAAGATTGAGTAGGATCTTGACAGACATGAACCCTGTGTCAGATCCTCTCCATTAGATAATTAGGAAAGAAGACCACGAGACTCCATGAGTAGAAATCAAGTGTACTTTTACTAATTATAAATGATTAGAAATCAAGTGTACTTTTACTAATTATAAATGAG